TTGTGGTACCATTGACGAGAAGCTTGCTTAAGGCCATAGATGGACTTTTTCAATTTGTAAACCATAGACTTTGAATCTCCCAATACAAAGTTTTCTGGTTGCACCATATAAATTGTCTCATCAATGTTACCATTGAGAAACGCTGTCTTTACGTCCATCTGATGTAGCTCCAAATCCAAATGAGCCACAAGCGCCATTATTGTCCTAAAAGAGTCCTTCGTAGAAACCGGAGAGAAAGTCTCTTTATAGTTTATGCCTTCTTTCTGAGTGAAACCTCTAGCAACTAGACGTACTTTATATCTTTCGATATTGTCATTTGAATCCCTTTTGGTTTTAAATATCCATTTACAACCAATGGGTTTCGAACCTTTAGGCAACTCAATAAGATCCCAAACGTCGATGTCTTTCATAGATTGCATCTCATCTTTCATGGCATCAATCCATTTATGAGCATTAGAGCTTTCTAAGACTTGTTGGAAGTTGATTGGATCATCTTCCTTCAAGCTTAAAATATTTTCATGCTCTTGAAGAAACACAATATAATCATCCAGAATTGCATTTCTCCTTTCTCTAGTGGATCTCCTTAATGGCACTTCTTGAGTTTGTTGAGTTTGTTCTATAGGTGGCATATGGGGTGATTCATTATTGTCTTGACCCAAAGTAATGTCAGGGACCAAAGCCTGTTCCATAACAATGTCATGAACAGGGACCTGATCATTAATTGCTTGTTCCGTAATTGCATCTTGAATGATGACAATATTAGGAAGAGAAATATTATTTTCTTCCTCATCAAAGACAACATTCCTTATTTTATCTTTCCCCCCCACCCCCAAACTCAACATCCTCAAGGAATCTGGCATTTCCCGTCTCCAAAAAAGGATCTTGTAGTGGGATTATAAAACTTAAAGCCCCGAGAGCGTTCAGCATATCCAACAAAATAGCAGCTGATTGTTCTTGAGTCCAACTTTCTTTCATTTGGCCTATAAGGCCTTGCTTCTGCTGGACAACCCCAAATGTGTAGATGCCTTATGCTAGGTTTCTTTCCATTCCATAGCTCATAAGGGGTTTTTGTCATTGCTTTGCTGGGAACCCTATTAAGGATATAAACTGCAGTCTTTAGTGCTTCTCCCCAAAGTGATTCTGGCAATGAAGAATGACTAAGCATACTCCTCACCATGTCTTTAAGAGTCCGATTTCGCCTTTCCGCAACACCATTCATGCTAGGTTTACCTGGCATTGTGTATTGCGGGACGATTCCACACTCCTTTAGGAAGATCGCAAAGGGCCCTGGACGTTGTTCACCTGATCCATCAGATCTACCATAGTATTCACCACCACGATCAGATCTAATGGCCTTAATTTTCTTGCCTAACTGAAGTTCAACTTCAGCTTTAAATTCTTTGAACACATCCAAAGATTGTGACTTCTCTCTAATCAAATATAGGTATCCAAATCTTGAATAGTCGTCTATGAATGTGATAAAGTATTGTTGACCATTCCAAGAGGCTATAGGAAATAGTCCACAAATATCCGAATGAATCAATTCTAAGACGTCTGAAGCTCTGTTGGAACCTATTTTCCTTATGTTTGTCTGTTTCCCCTTTATGCATTCAATGCACACCTCAAAATCATCCAGATCAAGGGGTTCAAGAATTTCATCAGTCACAAGCCTCTGAATTCTCTGTTTAGAGATATTACCTAAACGCTTGTGCCACAAAACCAGTACCAACAAACTAAAGTGAGAGTCATACCCTTCCTTTCGCGCCATGCCTTGTATTTGGAACACTCTTTCTTCATGTGTCCAGATTTCTTACAAAAGAAGCAAGTGAATTCCTGGTCCTGCTTCTTTTGCTTCTTTGGCAAAGCATCCGCATTATCCTTAGCTCTCTTTCTTTTCTTGTCTTGAGAGGTTGATGCCAAGTGAGCACTATCAGTCTTCTCTCGTTGTAACCTCTCTTCCTCTTGCACACAGTGAGAAATGAGCTCATTAAGAGTCCATTTTTCCTTTTGAGTGTTATAACTCACCACAAATTGACCGTATTGTGCAGGAAGAGAAATAATAACTAAGTACATGAGCAACTCAGAGGGCAGCTCTAACTTTAATGCCTTTAGTTTTCTAGCAAGATTAGACATTTCCATAATGTACTCCCTTATGTTTCCCTTTCCTTTATACCTCATGTTTATGAGTTTGGACAAGGTTTGACCAATTTTAGCCTTTTCATTTCGAGCAAAGTATTGCTCGAGTTCCTTCAGAAACAACTTGGCATCAGTAGTCTCAACAATCGAGCCCCTAAACGCCTCCGAAACGGAACGTTTCATGATCATCAGACACATGCGATTTGAGCGTTCCCACTTCTCAATTTTATCCGTGTTTGGATTTTCCTGAGTGGAAGTGGGTTTCTCAGTCCTTAGCGCATGGTTGAGATCCATGCAACCGAGAACATTTCCACATTCTCTTTCCACAGCTTGAAATTTGCCCCATTAAGCATTGGAAGCATATTCATTTGAGCAACATAATTGGCAGCGGTAGCAGAAACTATACAGAGAACCAAAAAAAGATAACATACTAATAACATGTCATATCATATATATTCATACACGATATAGACAAATAATCCGAAGTAAAATGAGTTTATTATAAGATACCTAGCACAACATCAATATTTAGTCTGTGGACAAAAATATCAAACATTGACAATAAGTCCTGTCAAATCATAGCCTTCCTATGGGCCGACTATGAATTACATGGAGAATTCTTGATAATTGTCACATATTTATTACCACAGGTATGTTTGTTACTTGGCCAAATAATAACCTTCCTGTGGGCCGATCACTATCCGCATAAGCAATAAACACACACATGATCACACAACATATATTATTTGGCCAAACAATAACCTTCATGTGGGCCGATTATTATTTGCATAAATAAAATATATTTATATGACCAACCTATTTGAAATCAAATTAACCTTTATAAATTTGGCCACTGTGGCGGCTAACAAATCTATCATATTTAATTTCAAATAGAAATCTTTAGGGATAATAAACCCATTTAAAAACAAAATAACAACAATAAAGAAAATTATTCTTTATCAATCCTCAATGTATTTACATACATACTATATCATTATACCATTAACAATAAATACCTTTTCATTATAAGGCTTAAAAAAATGATGCACAAACAACGCACATGTAAGCCTTTTCAAATGAAAGCTTGAAAATGATGCATAATATCAAAAAAAAAATTATATTTAGCTTTTAACAAAGAATATCAAATATAAGGAAAACCCCAAAACCAAAGACCTTAAACATTTGATTTCTTTCAAACCGTAAGTCCAAAATTTTCTAACAGAATTCATTGTTTATTCAAAAAATTCAAACAACAAAACCTCATCGATTATAAAGCCAAAATTCTTCCAAACTTTCCATCTATTCACAGATTCAAAATTTAAATAACAAACCCTTATTAAACTGTGAATCCTAGTTTTTTCTAAAAAATGTAGCTTTTGTTCCAAAACCAAAAAATCACCATGAGGGAACAAAAATAACACTACTAGCTAATACAAAATACATAAGATGGAACCCACGGTCAAAAAATAATAAACTTTATGCCAAAAGACAATAAAGCAAAACTTTTCATGATTAATCATATATAAAAATCACAAAACTTAATTCCCTCATAATTCAATATGATGATGGCTCTGATACCAATTGTTGGAATTTTTTAATTCCTCTAAACCTTTTGGTGATAACTATCACCTACAAGCCAAGATCCATCATACCAAATCATAAAGAAATAAGAACAACATAAAGGTGGAGGCATACCTGTCTCCATTGCAGCGGAATAACTTTGATCTTGTCTTTTGGGGTTTGTAGTCTTCCTCAGTCAAATCACCCTAAAATCGAATTTCTTAGTGTGTCGTCTCTCTCTTGATGGGGAAGAGAAACTAGGGTTGTTGATTTGACGTATTGGGGACCATAACCCTTTTATAGTGTTTTTATCTTTATTGTTGGGCCAATAAGCTCCCATTATACCTAGTTGGCCCAACACCGGTATCCACTCATTCAGCTCATACTCACTTAGGAATCTATTTGGGAATATTTAACTGATCACTTTAATTTACCCAATATATATAAATAGCACAATATAATTATTAATATAATATGTGACCCACAATAATTATTAGAAAATTAGAAATATAATTTTCTAACACGCAATTCAGGGAAGATATGAACCTACATAACCTCCCCTTCCCCCCTAACCTACACTGAGTGAGTCAAGGGGCTAAGCGTTCAAATCGGTGGAAAGCATTCAAATGTTATAGAAACGGCTCTTGTAGAGAAACTGTGTAACATAACATGTGACCCAACAGAAATCAATCTAGTGATTCAATCAATATAAGAATATTTCGTGGTCTCACCACCCTTACCTCTAAAAACCTGAACTTTATGACTTTCATCGAGTACAATTACCATTAATACCAAAAGAGAAAAAGATACAACGAGGTTCCTGCATAAATCCATCTTATGTCTAAGACCATTTCAAATACAGTAGCACAGACGTATTTATTCCTACGCATCTCGAGAGAAAAAAAACTACTATTTATCACCGTTCATTTTACCTTTCCTTTCTATCTCCCCCTTCTATTCATCAAAATCAAATAGTATACCACGTATCTGAACATAGTTCTCCAAGTGAGGTCCGAGAACAAGAATGTTTTGTTAAATAATTTATCAAATACCATTCATGCCTACAAAATCAGAAATGAACTCTTCCAAAACGAAACTAGACCCAAGACAGAAAAGCAAATTAACTAGCATAATTAATTAACAATGTTTGTACCGAGTTTTCTAAAGGCAAAAACAAATAAACAAAACGTCCTAACCTGGTCTGCTACGATTACAAGAAACTGTCAGAACACACTGCACAATTGCAAGTCCGTAAGATAAAAAAGATAAAGGACAAGCCTCTGGATCTCTCTTATCTCTTTATTTCAGTAAGGAGGAGGAGGGCGAGGACCCCAGAACACATCTTGAGGAATCTGACCATTTGGTAGCAAATTTGGATTCAAATTATAAACTGGCATTGAAACCTGTTGTTGTTCACCCAAGCCCTGAGAAACAGGAGTTGCAGCACCATCACCACCACCAACACCACCTTCATTGACACCTGAGTGTTGCTGCACTTGCATATCCTCTTCACCAGCTTGCTCATCCTCTAAAGGCAACCTCTCATAAGTAGCATTAGCAAAAGTAGCTGCAATCACCATAACAGGTCCCGAAGCCACCAATGACCCCACCACCGTGCCGCCGACAACCTGACCCTGAGAACCCGCTAAGTACACCGTGAACCCGGTGGCCCCCGGCGGCGAAGGTGCCGGCAAGAACGCACCGGAGAGAGACAGTATCTCGAACCTTCCCTGAAGGGTGATGACCCCACCAGGCGCAGCCGGTTGCCGGAGGGTGACATTGGTCACGACGCCGCTGCCGCTCAGCACCGACACCCCGCGGTGCCGGCGGTTAGCGAAGGTGGCAATGCACTCCGCGACGTCGCAGCCGCTGCTGATTTCCAACACGTGGCTGCGAAGCGCGTTTGGGCTTTCCTTGGTTATGACCACAGGAGGTCTCGGCTTGTTCTTCGATCCCGGAGGCCGGCCGCGTGGCCGGCGGCTGCTTCCACCTCTCTCCGCCGTATCGTGGCTTCCAGGGTTCTGGTCGTCGGCGTCGCGGTCGTTGTTGTCGTCGTCCTCTGCGGTGTTTGCGTTGGTGTTACTGTTGCTGCTGTTGGTTGGGGTGTTGGTGTTGTCGACGATGAACTCTTGCTCTCGTCTAGGCCCAACTCTGTTAACGACACCTTGGTCTTCTTCAGGGTTCCTCATCTGAAGCGATGGAGAAGAAGAGTTTGGGTCTGTGGGTCTAACCACCACATTCCCAGCCCACCAACGATTCGCCATCTTTGAAAACTGAAAAACGTTTTCACTGATTATATATGCGATGTAATATTTTCGGATATATACTTCTCTGCTTGCTAGATAGATATTCAGATCTCTATCTAAAAACCCATTTATAACCCAAAACCTTATCCACTTTATATCACTCAAGGAACCAACAACGGGTTTTGCTTTTGCATGTAAATCTTGACCATGTATAACTTCCTCCGAATCGAACAAGTCATATCCACCTAATCGAGATTATGAAAGAAAAACCGTTTTGCATCTCACTCACAAGAAAAACCCAGCTGCCTTTGAACAATACCCTGTAATTTATGTAGCTATTTGAGGAAACTTTTTTTTTTTAAAAAGAAAAAAAAAAGTTGTAGTAGATATTTCTTAGGTGCGGCTAATCTGAGTATAGAACGGTAGTATCTCGAAGATAGTGATTTGACCAATGTTGAAGGCGGTTTCGTTGCTTGTATTTGTATATTTGAGTCAGTGTGATCGGCTAGCGGTTTTCGTTGTCTCCCGGGCAAGCGGTTCTTGTGTGTTGAATTCAAGGTTTTCAGGTTTCCAAAGTATTGAGATCACCATCCACTTGTTGCTGTGCTACCTACTCATTCATTCACATACAAAACAGATTAGACCAACTTGCTCAAACATATCTATCATTACTGTGCAAGAAAAATGAAAAAGACAACGATTGCCTTCCACCATGAGTGAATGAAACTACTGTTATACCCTCGTCCTAGTTTGTGTTTCTAACTGTTCATAAATGATGGGGTTCTGAGACATTGGCTCGGGCACCTCGTGGGAAGGCCCAGGCCTTCGAGTTTGACCGCGTGAAGCGTTTTTGTTGTCATTTGAAGTTTAACAACCACTCTTTGTTTTCCACTTTATTTAAATAAATAAATAAATAATTTTAAAGAAAGAAATTCTTTTCATTTAATAATTTAAGGAAATAAATATTCTTATGTTACGGAATGTCTGCTTACTGCTGAGTGCAGACACATTTTATCGATTGGTCCCGTGAAAAATATATCATTTTTTTTTTCATTTATACAGTACAGAAGTTAACATTACGATGCTTTAAGTTTACAGGGATTAAATGATAAGGAAAACGCAATTTAGCCATGCAAAGATTAAAACAAAAAAAACTAGACGATGATTTTGAAAACGCAAATTACACAAATAGCATGAGGGCTAAGGGTAGAAAGGGAAAAATTAGAAGAGATATAGGAAAAATAAAATAAATGTCATGAAAATTGTGGAAATTTTATTTGGAATTATTTTTTATTTATAAATGTCGCCGTATAATTTATGAGTATAATTTAATTAAAAAATATGATTAAATTACATTATCCCCTTTTTTAAAAATATTCTATCTTCTCCTAAGATATTAACGTTTGTTGTTTAAAAAAAAAAAGATATTGACGCTTGTTATATTTTAATATATTTTAATGTGAATGACTTTCTTGTGAAAAAAAATTTCCCCGAACTCTCACTATAATTGACGGTTATTTTTGAATTTTTATTATTGATTTTGAGACTTTAGAATATATATGTTGAAGGTGATGCACTCATAATTGGCCCTTTGCATATAGCTTGATTATTGATTCAAAAAGCTCAGAGTCAACTGTGGCCCAATAAGTATTGCTCAATTGTTGAAAGAAGTAGTGATTGGAAATATAACAAATTATGATCAAATTCAAGTCTCAATAAAGCAGGAGATATGATTTTGATTTGTTTGGCAAGAAAAGAAAAGCAACACATTTTGTGTGATTTAAGATATAAGATTTAGAACGTATTTTGAATCATTTAATTGTAATTATTTATTTATTTTTAAAAGCTAATTATTGTTATATTTATTTTAGGAAGTCTTCTTATTTTTAGGATTTTAGATTTTTTTAATCAAAAAATATTTCTGCAGTTAATGCAGATAAGTTATATATGCATTTACTTCCAAAACGACGTCGTTTTGGGATTGAAAGATTAAAAAATTATAATTATAAAGACTATAATAACTCTGAAATAAATTAAAATTACAAAAACACCATGATTTTCACCCCAAAACGACGTCGTATTGGGTTTACTGCAGATAATAACTTATCTGCAGCAACTGCAAATAAACGAACTCTTTTTTAATTTTGAATCAATTTGTAACTAGTTTATATAAGGGTATTTATGAACCTTATTATAAGAGTTGAATTTTGTTATTTTATTAATAGAAATGAAAAAAACCTGAGAATTACTCTTTTGTAAAAATCTCAATTTTCTATTTAGCCATATTTTCTACGCGCTTTCGGCTAAGAAGGTTTTAGGTAAAATTTCAAAATCATGTAGATATATTTTAAATTACATTTCATATTCCAAAGTCTTAAAAGTATTAACGATGTTTAAATCAATTATCAATTACACTTAAAGTTAGAGAGAGATAATGTCTCGGGAGATTCATTCATAGTTGTAAAATACAATTAAAAGATTTGTTTACATTGAAATAGACTATAGTATAACATATTTCATTTCTCAAGAATTTAATTTTGTAACACTCAGTTATGGACCGGAATGTTAACATTGTATATTTGTATAGTATTAAGTGCCACGCAAAAATAAAATTAATTTTTTTTTAAATTATATCTTAAATGAAATATACTTAAAAATTTAATTATATATTAGTTGGAAATGAGTTTACTATTACATCTAAAAATGACTATATTATAACATGGGAAAGGATATTGTGACAACCAAGTTGTGTTACTACCAACTGACTACTAGTCAATCTTACCGTTAGATCGATTATATTGATCCAACGGTTATATTTATTTTCATCTTTGTATGGTCATGATTCCCCAAATTTAATATTTTATATTTATTTTCACCTTTGTAAGGTTATGATTTTCCATATTTAATGCTTTCACTTTAAATATGGGGAATCATGACCATACAAAGATGGAAATAAAAATAACCGTTGGATCAACATAATCGATCTAACGGTGAGATTGATTGGTAGTCACTTAGTAGTAACACAACTTGGTTGTCATAATATCTTTCCCCTTATATCATATCTAAATTGATAACAAATGTTTCTGTTTCATCAATCACTTCACTGATATCCGTACAGTTTTTAAAGTCTTTAACCATAATGTTTCACCCTACTCCAAAGCTATACATACTGACCTGTTTATTCTCTGGAAAGGTTAGCATGAAAACAAATAAATATGAGATAAATCTTAGTAATATTGAAGTTTTCGAACTATAACCAATCCATCGCTCTCAAAATATTTTTGTAATAAGAAAATAATATCATGAATAATAAATATAAACTCGGATATTTGTGGGTTCTTCATTCAGATATATCCAAACATTTATGGGTTTTACCAAAACCTTTATGGGTGATACATATAAACATACCCAAAACTTTGTGGATTTTTGCATACAAATATATAAAGAAACGTGTAATCTTTAATTGAAATGACTAATGCTCAAATTCTATGAGTGCCTAAATTATGTGGGTTATGTATGGCGGAGCTCAAGTCTTGATAAGGCGTCCCTTACCTTATAACCATCTGATACCCTTGCGGTTCAGTCATATCAGAATTATTTTGTAAAAGATTACATATTTCATTAATATCCATTTGGTACCAAATGAAATCTTTAATTCTATAGTATCGATTCAATATCATTTAAATAAAGGGATAGGATATTGTGACACACAAATAATGTTACGCACAATGTTACGACCACATCTTAACCGTTGATTTTCGCCAATCAACGGTTATCATTTTTAAATCAAACTCATTAATTAATTATTAATTCACAATAAATGATAACCATTGATTGGCGAAAATCAACGGTTAAGATGTGGTCGTAACATTGTGCATAACATTATTTGTATGTCACAATATCCTATCCCTTAAATAAATTCACTAAATCTACAAAGTCAAAGATAACAGATAAACCAAAAGAACAAAACATATTCTTAAGAAATTTTTTGGACAGAATAACGACACATTCATAGATTTTAATGAAATAACTTTAAAATACCAACTTTACATATTAGATAAATAAATAAATAAAATTATGAGAATGTGGTTTCCCCCTAATATTACCTTCTTTTTATTTTCCCCACTTCCTTTTTTTTGTCTCTATTTCTCCTTCTCCTAATTCTTTCTTGTAAGTGTCTCTATTTTTCCTTTCTCGTCCCATTTCGTGCTTTCTCTCTTTATTTCTTTCTCATTTCTTTTCTTTCCTCTCTCCCTGTTCTTGTTTCTTTTCTTCTCTGTTACGTGCTTTCTCTCTTTTCTTGTTTTTCTTTCTTTTTGCACCAGGTGCATACCTATTTATATGGATAAAATTTTGGACTTTGTTGGCTAAAGTAATTATTACATATAGTTAGATTTTAACAAAACTAACTAAAATTTAGTTAAAATCTAACTAACATTCAACTAAGTAATCATTACCTAAAAAAAATCTTAGATATTTTTATCTCTTTGTCTTACAGAATGTCTCCATGTGGTACTTTTTCATTTTATTAAAATTTATATGGCGCTACTGTGCCAATCTTGTGACACAAGATGTTGCTTTTATACCGATTTTTAGTTTATGGCGCATCTTGCACCAATTTAGTGGTTTATAGCGCATCTTGCACCAACTTCGTATTATTTCGACGCTTTTAGCACTGACGAACAACACCATGAATAATAATAATTTTTTTCCAAATTCGGATATTACAAATTTAATTTAAGTATCTTTCAAAAAAATGAAAATGTAATTTGTTCAAAAAAATATTACTTTGATTAAAGACAAATGATCTCGACCTACTACATGTGAGATAAAGATCCAATCTCATAAGAGCTCAAAAAATTTCTGAGACTTAGCCACCAAGGCAAATTCATCCTGTGTAGAAAGGATGAGATATCGCTTACTTAGTCAGCAAGACAAATGTGACTTAACGTGAAAGAAATCATCATTGCCAAGATCGGTAGCTCAGACAAGTTGCCAATCACCACGAACCAATAAAT